GTAAGAAGACACTCCACAGTCTTTGTTTATGCTTTTTTACTGACATATAGTCATACTTGACCCCTGTTTGACTTAGGTAGCAAATAGCATAGCTTATGACAGGACAAAATATGACATTACACAACACTTAGCAGGTAAGAGACCCTCAACAGACTTTGTGGGGTCAGTTACTCCCAATTTCACATGGGGTATCAGGGCGTATCTGAAATTGGGGCTGACGCGATCATCATAGCAGCATCAGCCAATTAAATTAATCCGCAATGGGCTACTGTCTGAGCTGTTTCCAATTGTTAAAAAAAAAAGAAAGAAAAAAAAAACTTGTTACGACTCTTGATTGAAATATGTCTAGGAATTTAAAAGGAGTGACATTGAAATGACCAAAAGAATAAACTAATGGTAAAACATGGCAAGAGAAATACAGAACAACAAATTAGCACCGCAAAAGATTTGCTTCCACAAACCATATATTTACAGTATGAACAAAAACAAAAATATAGAAATAAATTTGAAAAACCAAGACAAATCGGAGAGGTAACTAAAAGTTGCGCTAGAAATATAATAAAAAATATTCCTATAATCTCTTCCCAATCCTCTAAATAAGAAAGTAACATGAACAAACATCTTCAGTCTGCAAGTCATCCCAAGTTTTGAATGGGCTAAAATGTGCTAGACGCAAGACATCCCTCATAAACGCAGATATTACAAATGACAGAACTTTTAACAACAGATTGTTTAAACAGATCTTACTGAAAGTCAGCATTAGTACCAAGCTAAACATATGGACACCACAAAACAGACAGCAACATGCCAAATAGTAAACAACAGCTAATCTCTTCCTATTGCTGCTTCCGAATTAAAGGTCTCTGTGCCGATCGTGATCATCACAGGAGTGATTAGGAATGGCAGTCCTGTCGGCCAATAATGTTCCAAAAGTAGACGAAACCTAAATGTGAACGTGACAGGTCAACGTTAACATAAACTTTAACATTTTTTTTAGATATTTTTAAAAATATTTTTTGTATAATTTGATGTAAGGATGTGTAATACAAAAGTATTGCTTTCGACATTTTTATTTTATTTTGTAAATCAAAATAGTTAATACTTTTGAGGATTTAAAATCCTGATGACCTTTGAAGTGTCTTGTAAAAAGGCTGAGTTATGAGTTTTCATGATCAATATTTTTAGTAACGTAGATTTCCAACTTCTTCACTTTTTATGAAAACCAAGCGAGTGATTGAGTGAAATCATTCATTTTGTTTTCATTGCACTGATGGTATGACTTCTTCAGCGAAAAGATGGGAAATTAAATTCTGAATATTTAATACGCCTAAAAATCAGTCATAGAACAAATTTACCTTTCAGTTTGAATGTTCTACTTTACTCCGTATGTACACATTAATAGCTTTTTATTTTCTTTTTCTCACAGTTTGCCCCTTTTCTCAGTTTAAACTTTCACAACCTTTTTTTTTTTTTTTGCCCTGAGGAAGAAACATAATTTCTTTGTTGTTAGGGTAAATCTGTTTTTTTCTTCTTTCGTTTTTTGTCTCTGTTAAATGACTTGTTTACACCGCTCTTTTTTTCTTGGCTTTGAAGAAAAAGTGATCCAGGATAACTGTGTTTTCAGGGCTGGGGTCTCTGAATGACTATGCGAATAAAAAAGCCCTGTGTTATTGCACTTGTTTTGAGGGGTTATTTACATAAAATTCATTCTTGTGTTCTTGTAATACAGCACAAGAAAATAGAACAGAACTCAACAGGTCTCAAAATGTGTTTTTAAACCATCTAATAAAAAAAAAAAAATCAGTGATGGGGGCAGAACAAAATACTGCAAAAATGTGTACTGCTGTAGTGATGGTCTTGTAAAGAGGCTATCTTTTTTTGGATTTGTTTGTTTTTGAACAGTCAAATCATCAATCTCTATCTTTGTGATGCTTTTTTCTTTTTGCATTTAAAATAATAAGGCTGGAACAACTTCATATTGAATTGTTTTGAACTGTTTATATATCATAAAGTTATAACCAATATTGCTGTAAATTATATCAAATTAAGTCATAATTGCATTGTTGAAAAAGTAAAATAAACTACCTTAAAGGGGACCTTATATGCCAGTTTTTAAAAGATGTAAACTAAGTCTCTGATGTCTCTAGGCTGTGTATGTGAAGTTTCAGCACAAAATACCCCACAAAAAAGTTTTATAAGCCCCTTATGGGCTTTGATCCTCATTTTACCATTTTGGTGATTGTCGCTTTAAATTCAAATGAAATAATGCTCTTTTCAAAAGAGGGCTGAGCTATAAATGCCTGTGTGTCAGCATAGTGAGATATTCAAAAACAAGACTATCATCCTATGCTAATGAGTAGCAATTGAAATGGCCCCTTATAGGCTTTAATCCTCATTTTGCAATTTTGGGGACTGTCACTTTAAATTCAAATGAGATTGCGCTCTTTTCAAAAGAGGACGGAGCTATAAATGCCTTTGTGTCAGCATAGTGGCAGATTCAGAAACATGACTTTCATCCTATGCAAATGAGTGGCAATTGAAATGGCTCCTCATAGGCTTTGATCCTCATTTTGCCATTTGGTGACTGTCACTTTAAATTCAAATGAGATTGTGACTAATGGGTTGTGGCTTTCCCTCCTGATTACACGCACAACGGGAGAATGTCAATCAAAGTATTCCTGCAAACTGTCAAATTTTACTATTAAAAGCTGGTTATATTTACATAATCTTGCCACGCAACTATGTTTAAACATCTTTGTTTTGTTTTGTTTTTTCATAAGGGGTCCCTTTTAAAATCAAATACAAAAGTTCTAAATGTGTTCTAAATATTTTGTTTAACAGTATCACTTCTATAAACAGTTTATACAAGTCTAAAATCTACAGAAATTCTAATGGCATCGCATAAACATAAACGTCTATTTTAAATGTCGAGATTAAAACAAAAATAAACGTACGCTACTTGCATCTAATTGCATTAGCACTTCACAATGTCAATTAAAGTGTGTTTAAGGTATCTGGAGTATATAGCTGGTCTTATGTCATTATACAAACTTTTGTGTCTCATCACAGTTACCATGACAACAAGCGAACCTTGTGATAATTAAAGGTAATTTCATTACTTCCACCATGTTATATGCTACCACTGAAAACCCCTGTGTAAATATGCTTGCCTTTATATATAACCTGACATTTTTCGAAAGCAGGTTTATCCTTTTTTTTTTTTTTTAGGTCTAGGTTTAGATTTCTAACACCAAGCCATGAAAAGAACCAGAGCTTGAAAGATAAAGAATCTTTAGCACAGCCAGGAACTTCAGAGGTGTTACTGACATATAACCCAACACTTCTGGAAGACTTCCAGGCAGTATAATGGGCCATTTCTGATTCCTGATTATTTATTCATATTTATTTATTTATTTTTCATGCACTAATCTCAAAGGAATCTGAAAATTACACTGAATTCTTTGAGGCCATTCACACAGGATGCATCTGAGTCTAAAAAAGTGGGAATTGTTTGTAAAAAAAAAAGTCATGAGGGTATCCAGACACAGAAACATGTATACAGAAACTTGCAAAGCTTTTTTTTGCACTAGAGTTCTTCTGATTGGTCCACTGCTTTGAAACTGACACTGATGAGTGGTGCTACATGTAAAAGTTAAAATTTTTTTTTTTTTTTTTTTTTTACTTAACATGGAATCTAAAAATACGGTGGCTCTAAATATGCAAGATGTGAGTGTAATGGTCATTACGCATGTCCATCAAGCACATCCTTACACAAGCATATGTATCAATTATTCATTAAAAAGGTCATATTTGGGTTTTGGGGGTCTCCAACAACAGGCTGATGTGCATGCAAGGTGAAAAAACACTTTCATTGTCTTATAATAATTATCCCAATGACTCCTAATGATTGTGCCTTAGTGCAATGCTAATCTGCGCTGATTGATCTGATGACTCAGTCTGTTGCGATTGATCAACTGCGTTCAGAGGGAAACAGAGAGAATCTGCCACCACAGCTCATCAACATCAATGAAGTAGTCAGAGTGCAGAGTATAGGTGTGTGCCCAATGCAGGAGTACATTAAAGCAGTGCAGTTAAACACCAGCATCTTGCTCAATTCTTAACTATAAGTAAAAACAACGACACCTATTAATCCACACAGCGACAAAGCTGAAGTATTTTGAAACTTGACTGTCGCACTTATGTAGGAACAGCTGATGGTGCCCATTGCAATGACAAATGGCAGAAGATTGCAAGCTCACAAACGCGCTTAAATCTGTGTGGCTTTAGACGCGACATGAGAATATATAGAGTCAACCAGATGCACTACAAGCCACGTGGAGCGAATACAAGTAACACAATAAAATTAAATACATAATTTGCAAGCTAGAGAAAACAAGAAAACAACTATCTTAATCGCACTTACACTTGCGAGCTGAAGGAAGAAACTGATTCATAAACTGTGTACTGTAAAGTTCTGACAAAGTCCCATAAATCAATAGTCTTTTCTGATCCTTCCTGACACAATCCCCCAGTCCAAGAGGATGATCTGAAAAAGCGACGAAAGTGGTTGGGCTTTGCTTATTGTGCATTGACCTCATTGGTCAATGAAGTTGTACTGTAGGTGACCTGAAAGGAGAGTTTTTTGGTTTATTTTAACACCCTGATTACATGATTCTTATTTTTATTTTTATTTTTATTTTATTTATTTTTTTGCATATCATTAGCTTAAATGAACTGACGATTAGGTGTTAAGCATAATATATGATAGCTAAATTAATTTAATACCAAAATATAATTTCAGGGTTAGTACTAATAAATTTTCAATTTTTCATTAATTGTTAAAACGAGGTAAAAATAACCAATAAGTAACCATGTCCTTTTAGTAGGCTAATGATTGAAAGTACAACAAAATACAAATACAACGTGCTAACTTCAGTCAACATGTTTGTTTCTGTCTTTCTATCTTTCTTTTTTTCAGATCAAAATGAGCATTTGTTGTT